CGGATAATAAATGCGACCTGCATTATATGGATATATCGACTCAGAAAGTGATTCTATGAATTTCCCCAAAAGTAACTATGGGTCTATCTCGCTTCCTTCTCCATGTTACAAACCCCATCCATGTAAAAACACATAATATCCTTACCACTATGTGGTGTAGGGTAAAAAAAGCTTACAGTTTATGGGGGCTACGCAAAAATGTGGACCGTGCTGTTGATTTTCTATCAGAAAAGATAGTACTTATTGTCAACATCTATTACCAGCTTCGAAATAATTTGAATTTTAAAAATATGACTAAATTAATCAAAACACAAAATGTATGTTGGGTGGGGTAAAGTTATATGGGGGAAATACGAGGACGTAGAGACACAGTTATATGGAACCATATCAAAACTTGGACCCATATGGACGGTTCTCAAAAGGATGTTTTCTACATACTGGTATCAATTTCGGCTTACAAGTATGATTAAAATGCTTTAAATCTGATGGTACAGATATATGAGGTATATAAAAAATTTCATATTTAAACCAAAAATTCGAATGACCTAATATAAGTCTGACTAAACTTTTATAAAAATACTTCCTATCGAGACGAAGCTATAGTAATTTATATAGACGAGCTGATCAACACCAGTAAACCAAACTGTGGAAAAATAAGGGAAAACTAAAAATATTTTTTGCTCATATTTACGATTTTTTCAGCTAATATTAAACATGAATGTCATTTAAAATTGATAATAAGGTAAATTATTAAAAAATGTTTTAATGTATTTTTTGATGATTTAAAAAGCTAAGAGAAATTGGGGTGGTGAGCGAGCTCTTTTCCTTAGGCAGCCCTGGTGTAGTATGTTGAATCCAGTTTTAGTTTTACTATTTTTTAATTGCGTAATTACTTCTAATATGTGACCAAAATTCTCAATGGAATTTCGTTGAAAAAAAGAAAACAATTGTTTTTTTATGTATATTTCTAAGAAAATTACATTTTTCTTGACTTTTCACTTATTACACAAAAATCCCCCCTGCTGTAGAATAAAAAAAGAAAACGGTACAGTGCGGAAGGAAAAAATCAGAGTTCATTAATGGAAAAATAAAAAAGGGTACTAAGACGACAAACGGCGAGACAAAAGAAAAAAAGCCGCCAGACAATGGAAAATGGGATGTGGAAGTGAGTCTTTGGAAAGAAAAACAATATTTATTGTTACCAACAACAACAACAGCAGCAGCAAAAACAATGAAGGAGAATAAAAAACAACAACATCAGGAGCCCCATTATGAAATTGTAAACAAAACAAGACTCAAATAGTTTTTTCACACTCCTCAGACCACACCAAAGAGAGCGGAGCCAACAACACGAACAATAACAATGCCAACAACAACAGCAACAACTATTGGTGTGCTCTTTTCTATTTACATTGCAGTGAAACCATAACGCAATGCAACCGAGCAAGGCATTACAAAAACAACAACATTTGTTCTCATGGCACAGTGTGATATTTTCCAGCGTATTATTTTTGGTTCCTACAGGAAAGGTTCTGAGCTTTGTTCTTTTTGTGTTTTTTAATAAATCTTGGGAACTATCCCATATTTGAGATTCCATTATTTCCAATCTTAACCAAATTTATTACTCCACATTTAGTATGCTCTATATGGTTCGTAGGGAACCTCTAGAACTTCTTTACCTAACTGGGGATTTATTGTAATCATCGAGTGTAAAAATATCAGACTTATTTTTGATAAAGTAGCAAAGCCGTTGTTTTCAAAACCCTTTGTCGAGGTTCGACATCATCAATGCCAGTGCCTGCCAATAACCTCGTCAATTGATCGAACAAAGAGTCGAAAAAGAAAATTTCATAAAATTTTTCAGCAGAAACTGCAAATAATATTACCCACATTAAATACCAGCGTCAGAGACATTGTTGATAATACCTAACTGATGACCTTAGTGACTTCATCAGATAGATTTATATTCAGACCTACTTGGTAGGTATATTAACCTAAAAGATTTCTAACATATCTTTGGACTTCAGACTCAAAGATTATCTGAAATTATAAAAGATTAACTGACAAAGTTTGGACGATATCGGATAATAGATTATTTTATCTGAAATAATTGTATGATTTTTTCGTGTGGAGGAGGCATCAGGATGAATGGACTCATATTTTCCATTTTTCGTAATTCCTCTAATCCAGGACATACATGTTGGGATGTGCTATGTTTCATACCTGACATTGGTCTTATCTAAATATTGCCATGTACCATGGTTGACTATATGAGGAACACCCTCCGCTCAATATGAGGTTTGCCTTCTTTGCAAAATTTTGAACAGTTGTAAGGGAAGTTCTAAAAGGATTGGACCGATATTGACTGTCTCCAAATAAAAAAATACTGCCTTCGAGCGTTATTGTGCACACAAGTCAGTCAGACAGGCGGACATGTCTAGATATATCTTGAAGCGGATTTCCACCAAAGGGAATGTTATTAAAACGAGCCTATTTTGGGCACATCAAATTATATATATGCTCCGATGCCACAAGGCTGAGAGTATAAAAAAGTAGCAAAGTTCGGCCGGCCCGAACTTTTTATATCCTCCACCGTTTGGAAAAAACTTGAAAATTTTCTGAGAAATTCCGTCGAAAAATACCGCTGAAATGAAAACCAAAATATGGGGGCTATACAAAGACATGGCCCAGCATAAGTAATTTGTGTCATAGACTGTAGGTAGCGTTTCCGAATTTAAATATACAAAACCTGAAACAATTTCGGTTAATAATGTCGTAAAAATACTGAACTGCTTAATATCTGGGGGTACCTTTATATGGGAGCTATACTAAAACGTGTACCTATTTCGACAGTTCTCTTCCAAGGGATAAGGTACTCACAAGGAATTCCTTGTGTGAATTTTCGGACAACAAAATACCTAATATCGGAAGGTAACCTCATATGTGGGATATACGATATCGTGGACCTATGTAGATAATTCTCTTCCAGGGGATAAAGTATTCACAAGGAACTCCTTGTGTGGATTTTCACACAATTCCATTGGCCATGGTGATGGTGTGGGCCATAACAGCCGATGGTCGCTCTCCGCTCGTATTAATCGACCGTGGGAGTTTTTTATCTCACCCTGTAAACATTACAACCTGCCAGATTTGGACTATATCGACTACTTCCTATACTTTATATGAAAAATTTTCGAAAATGTGGAAATATGCGTAACAGATATAGCGGACCGATTTATTCCATTTTTATACTTAAATAATACAGTTACAAATATCGGTATGTGTAAAATTTATCGGAAATTGAACATTTATATGCAATTTTATACGAAATCATAAATTCCGGTAAATTACATATTCATATCAGATTTCTGGTTAAGAGAAATGTTTAGATATAGCAAGTTGTATAGAATCGCCGACTTGCATCGAAAGTTATAACAGATATAAGTATTGACAATTGTGACCCTTTGTGAGTAAGGCGCCAGAAGGGTTTGGCACATATATATCACCTTCACAACAGATCTTGCCTTAGCAAAACTATTTGGATGTGTGAAATTTCAAGAGAGTTGGATGCTTATGTCGCTTTCTTTGAGCCTTTTGTTTTTTTCAAAAATCTTGAACCCTATGTGGGGGAGGTACCAGAATAAATAATCCCATCTATACCATCTTTAGAACAGATCTTTTGTTTTGGAAATATTGAGATGTACCAAGTCTGAATGGAATCGGATGTTAATTTCATGTTTTAAGAGCTTCATGAATATTTAAAATTTTGACCCTTTGTGGGGCAGGTACCATAAGGATGGACCAATATATTCCATCTTCACACCAGACATTGGGTTAATAAAAAAATTGTTATGTGTGTAATTTGTAGACAATCGGACAAGTACATCACATTTTATAAGAGTCATAATTATTCAAAATTTTGAACCTTGGTGGGGGAGGTTCTTGCTGGAGTTGATCGATATTGTCAATTTTCGCACCTGACCTAGCACTGATGCGAGTATTAGGATCTGCAAAGTTGGAGCAAAATCGGATTATCCTTTCTCTTTCCGTGCACTAAATTATTTTCTTTGAAAATATTTACATTTTGTGTGGGAGGTACCAGAAGGAGTGGACCGATATTGTGCATCTCCGAACTCGTTCCAAGTTTGTCAATAATAATTACGATGTATCAAGTTTGGTTCAAATCGGATACTCCCATCAAGAGTTATCGTGCGCATCAGCCATCCAGATATCGCTAGATCGGCTCCAAATGTCCTGAAACGGATTTGATCCAAAGATACCTAGGGTCTAAACCCGTTATTTCGATAAGGCACGTTTTGGCTCTATCAAATGATATTTATCCTCTCTTGTCATATGACTGAGGGCATAAAAATATATGTAATTTTTGTTTTGTTATAATTGGTACCTTTTCCGGACTGATGTGCTAGCACATGCTTTTGAGCAGTTATGATGTTAGTGCATGAAAATCAAAGTTCTGAATATAATCTCATCGACTTATAACGTAAAAAACGCTTTTTCCACACTTGTAGATTTAAAATTCTTTAGTTTTTATTTATTTTCAAGTGGGGAATATTTACAATGGGGAAACAACTAGTCTCACTGTGCTTTAAATGTGTCATTGGTAAGTGAGAGTGAGTAAATGGGAGAGAGAGAGAATATACTATGTAATTTCTCATCACAGCCGGGCTACAGGGGCAACTCGAATAACACAGACTCAAGCTGTTGCTCCATTGTGCAGTCTCGATTAGCTTAGTGAGTTTTCATTACACGCTTGAATAAACGACTCAGCTTAACTCCGCTGAGAGAGAGGGAGAGAGAGAAAACGTGTTGGCTTCATTCATAGAGTCAAGCAACCACCCCACAAACAACGCAGCACTGCATCTAGCCAAGCTACACAAAGCTAAACCGCCTATCATCTCACAACCAACGAACCAACCAACCAACCATCCGTTCATTCATTCATTCGTTGGTTCGCTTGTTCGTTTCCAATTCTAGAGCGGAGTTTCAGTTTGAATTTGTCTAGCAACGAAAAACGTTTGTTGATCATTTCGAAGCGGAACGGTGGTGCGCCTGCGTTTGTCGTACAGTTCCTGTTCAAATTGATTTCTGAGCGTACGAACGAGAGCGTGTAAAGCAAAAAATTCTTATAAGTAAAAAAAAAAGAAAATAAAACCAAAAAATATAAACATTTTGTTGCAAAATAAAACGACATTTTTTTCAAAATTTGAAAACAAAAATCGAAAAATACCTCCGATCCAATTGCAAATATTGAAAGCAAAAAAAAAAATTCCTCAATAATAGTAAATAAATGACAATTAAACAACAATAATAATACTCAATGAGATCTGCACAGTTATTATAGTTATTATTTTTTATAACAAGTGAATAAAAAAAGAAGTGGTTAATTATTATTTATAAAATTGCTGCACAATTGCTTTGTACCTATTTGAAAGTGTTTAAGCTGAATGCAAAAATAATAATAATAACAACAACAACGACAGCAGTAGCTAAAAACAAAAGAGGCAACAATAATTGCATTTTGCTTTGTTATTCTTGGCCCAGTGTTGGCTGGCTGCCTATTGACGGACGTTGGTCACTTTGTTTTGCTGGTAACTTCAATGGAAACAAAAACAACAAAATAATAATACAAAAAATCCAAAGTTTATAAAAATTACGATTACAACAACAAATTTGCAAAAACAATTGTCATAAAAATATCGTTTGGAACATTCACTGCAAAATTGAAAAAAAAAAAATAAAATTCCATCCATTGACTGGCTGACTTTGAATTAGTCTCACCACTTGTTTTTGAATTTAGCCGCCTCTGGTTGACACACTGATCTTCCATTATTCAGTGGTTCATTGTCTCCTGAACATTTAATCTGAACTTTAAATCAATTCTCTGTACCAATTTGTGTGTGTCTACGGTTATGGTGTCAACCATTCGAAAGCATTGGCCCAGTTTCAATTCTTCCGACAGAAGAGGGTGAAATCAGAACAAAACAAAACAAAAAACTACAACAAAAGACTCCGTGAAACTAAGTGACAGAATTTATTTAATGCAGCCTTCAAACAACAACAGCAACATCATTATCAGTCAAATAGGAAAAGCAACAACAACAACATCACAATCATCACAAAATATTTAACGACACTTGGTAATTCAATCTGTTGGCCTAACAAAATTGCGGTAAGTTGAAATTTAAGATATGTTTTTTTTTGTTTGAGGATATTTATCATTTATCATGCCGCCAAACACTCCGAACTAAGCTGAGCAATCAGATTCATGTCTCTGACTTCATTGTAGTGGTGCATTAACCGGATCGAATGGAAAAATGCTCCGCGAACAAAAAGCAATAGCAACAAACTAATAATGACAATAACGAATGTGGTGAATGCATGAGAGATATGATTCCTTATTGGAATTAGGCCAATTTACACCTGTTCTCACGAAAGGGGGACTTAGGAGTCGTAAATCTATAAAGATCAAGATGTAAAGAATTTCTACTTCATTTAGGTATACAGGCTGCGATAAAAAAGCTGCAACAAAGTCAAACGCCATTATGTTTAATTTTTTTTTAATTTATTGAATTAAAGAAAAAATGTCGGGAATCAAATTTTAGAATAAGTTTAGATTTGTTCGAATTGGTCACCTTTGGCACGAATTATGCCTTTCAAACTGCCAATGAAACCGTCACACGTTGCCCGAATGTTGCTCTGCGGTATTTTGGCCCATTCCCGGCGAGGCGCTTTCTTGGGGTGGTAGAGCCAACCTTGCTTTCCAAAATACTCCAGACACAATTGTCCAAAGGATTGGAATCCGGAGATTTTTGAGGCTATTGTGCGCTGGAAATGAAGCGAGGAACCTCATTTTGTAACCATTCTTGGGTGGTGAATGCTGAGTGCGATGGTGCAGAGTCCTGTTGGAATGTCCAAGGTTTGCGGCCAAAATGTTTGCGTGCCCAAGGCTTTAATACATCCTCCAGAATATTTTCGCGATAATATTCGGCATTTTTTCTGATGCCACGCTGTATTAATACGAGCGGAGAGCGACCATTGGCTGTTACGGCAACCACACCATCGCTTGAGTTCTGGTTTCAGCTGACCTCTTTTGCAAGTAAACACGATCATTTTGTTTGTTTACAAACTGCTGGACAACGAATGTTTCCTCATCGGAGAACACCAAATTCGGCAGTTCACCACTTTCGGCCAAGCGAAGCAACTCTTTAGCTCTTTTGAGTCTATTTTTTTTCTGTTGCGGTGTAAGTTCTTGCACTTTTTGGAATTTCAATGGCTTTACCCCGAGCTCCATTCATTTTTCAATATTTGCCGAATGGAATATTGCGACATGTTCAGCTCACGAGCCATGTTTCGGCTATTGCGATGCGGGTTTTGATCAAGTCACTTCTTCACTTTTCAAAGCATTTCTGCTGATGTTCCGGCCACTTCCTTGACGTCGGGCACAGCAACGAGCAATAACTTTTTTCTGAAAATTCTTACCAAAATGCTTTTGTACACTTTTAAACACTGGAATAATTTTAACAGCTGTTGCAAAATCTTGAACCCTATATGTGGGGGAGGTACCAGAAGGAATGGTCCGATCTCTACCTTCTTTATAACAGATCTTGTGTTGATAGAAATATTGAGATGCACCAAGCCTGAATGGAAGCGGATGTTATTTTGGCGTTATATGAGCTTTATGGATTTTCAAAATTTTGACGCTTTGTGGGGGAGGTACCCGAAGGAGTGGACCGATATATTCGATCTTCACACCGGACTTTGTTTTGATAAAAATATTGTGATGTATGTAATTTGAAGACAATCGGACTCTTACATCGCATTTTATAAGAGTTATAATTATTCAAAATGTTGATCCTGTGTGGGGGAGGTACTTGATAGAGTGGACCGATATTTTCCATTTTCGCACCTGACCTAGCATCGATGCAAATATTATAATTTGCAAAGTTGGAGCAAAATCGGATTATCCTTTCTCTTTCTGTGCAGTAAATTATTTTCTTTGCAAATTTTGACATTTTGTGGGGGGAAGGTACCAGAAGGAGTGGGCCGATATTGTCCATCTCCGAACTCGATCTAAGTTTGATAATAATATTAGTATGTTCCAAGTTTGGATCAAATCGAATACTCCCTTCGAGAGTTATCGCGCACACTAGGCAGCCAGAGAGAGACGGACGGACGGACATCGCTAGATCGATTCCAAATGTCCTGAAACGGATTTGGTGCAAAGAGACCTTGGGTCTAAAACCGTTATTTCGATGTTTTGGCCATATATCTAGCCATATGGCTCAGGGTATAAAGAGAAAATGTTATGGACATTTATCTATTTTTACGCACTCCCCAGAGAAATGTCAAATATCAGCTAATTAAATTATTTCAAAATATGGCCGTTTTCATTTTTAAAAGCTGTTTTTGTTTTTGGTGTAAATTTATGAGAGTTGTAAAAAAATCACCTTCTCTTTTTCGCCGGTGCTATTTGTTCGAATTTCAATAGCCCGATTTGTGGGGTGTTTTATTCTTTTATTTGGCACACTTGGGAAACAAAAAAAAGTGCAGCAACAACGCAGCACGCTATCGCTCTCGCTCGCAAGCTTGAGTGCCTTATTTTTCTTTCTTGAAACATTTGACTGCCGGCATTTAATTTATTAATGACTCTGCAAAGAAAGCTAATAGCAACAATAACAGCAGCACGAGGAAGGCGAAATAGAAACTTCACTTTTTTCTAATGATTCTGAAATGCGAACGAAAAATCATTATTTAGGGCCGCCGCAGCCAAGATTTGAAGTTGTGCGGAAACCAGTTTTAGTTTCTTTCACAAATTGCTTATAAAGATCATTGATAATGGTAATAAATAATACAAAAATATCTGCCTCCAATAATGGGGTGTAACGATGCGAATGCAATATTTTAAAAATTCAAGAAAAGATTGTTGGAATTGAGGAATTATTAAACACATCTGACTCAACTTACCTGACGAAGAGATTGGTTTCCCAAAATCCTGAAATCAAAAAAAAAAAAAAAAAATATAAAAAAAATATATAAAAAAATATATAAAAAAATATATTAATTCTATCGTTACACCTTAATGTTGTGGGTTGGTTTGATGTCAAAATATGTGTGTTTGACTTCCCCCTCTTAACGTTCGTTCAAACACTTAATAACGGAAATGTCAATACATTTATAAATGTTGTTGTTTTGTTGTTGTGCTGCACCAACAAAACCAAAATAAAAAAAAACGAAAAAAACATTTTTTTTGCTGTTGATTTAACAAATTTGGGAAATGAGTTTTCAAACCAATTTAGACTTAACCTTAACAAATTGACGAACAAGTGTTAGTTACCTTTGCCAATTAATTGTTAACTGGGCAAATTTCACTTTCGCTGATTTTTTTACCCGCATGAGACAAGCAGCAGTTGCCAGCCAAGCAGGTGATTATTTGGTTAATAATTTATTTGACAAACAACCAATTGATAAGTACACATTTAACAAATTCCCCATCAAAATAATAACACAAGATATTTAGTTCAAATATTATATAATTTTATTTTAACAAAGAATGCAAACAAACAGAAGAGAAGGTTGAGGGTCCGAAATAACTTTCTTAAATTGCAACAAAAGTGAGCAGTTTTGTTTTCACTTCCTCCCTTTACCCACCTCCCCCCAACAACGTAACCAATCGTATTATTCCAATGGCCAAGACAATAAAATCCATAAATTAATAATAAAATAGCATCAGGTGTTTGTTTTTGTTGTCGCCACCAGGCCCCAACAGTCCCAACTGCGCTGATAACTAATGCGACAACAATGTCGTCGTCGGAGCTCTTTGAATAGATTACCCCTCTCCCTCTGTGTGCATCTTTGTATGGGCCAGGTTTTTATTTTTCCAAAAGAAAAGAAATCCCAAAACGGTGAAAGATATTCAGCCGTTGGCATTATGTAATCTAAGCGAAAACCAAACACGATTCGTAAATAACGCAGCTGATTAATCAGAAAAGAATGAAAGATGCCAGCAGAGGGGAGGAGAAGAGACAAAACCAAAAACAAACAAATAAAATAAAATAAAACGTTAGACAGCTATTGTTTCAAAATATTAATCAACAAATGCCGAATTGTTGTGGAGCGGTGAATCAGTTGGGGGCAAGAAAAGACAAGCGGAATGAATCTCTAATGAATTAACATTAGCATCTCTGAGGGGGATGGGGGCAACAAGTGGACAATTTTTAAGAAGAAGAATATGAAACAAAACAAAATCTTATTGGAAAAGGTTAGGTTAGGTGAGGCTTACAACAAATATTCCGGAAATAAACAATACAACAATACAATAAACAAATGCGTTTCAGTTAAACAAAAAATAATCGTTAATTGCTGTTATAAATTTCCTATTGATATGCGGATTTGGAGAAAATTAGAAAGATGCATATTTTTGAAGGGAGAAAGTCAGGGAAAATTTCGGCAGTTATTAATGGAGAAAATTGTAAAATAGAAGTTCAGAAGCTGGAGAAAAAAAAGGTATTTCACACAATATCAATATTTTATTAAGAAAAAAAAAAAAAAAAGTCAAATAGTCGGTTTTGCCGACAGATGTATACCTCCAGACTTGAGTTATGATTATTCAAACGGTTGACCCTTTATGGGGAAGGTCCCGAAGCCGATGGCCAATATTGACAAATTTGTGTCTGGGCTAAGACTGATATAAATATATCACCGTGTCAAATTAGGACTATATCGAGTACTTCATATACTTTATATGACATGTGTGCAAAATTTCGTAAAATGTGGAAATGAGTGAGGTAACCGATTTATATATACCAGAAAGAATGGTCCGATCTCCACCATATTTATATCAGATATTGTTTTGATGAAAATATTGTGTTGTGCCAAGTCTGAATGGAATTTGATGCTCGTTTCGCGTTTTATGAGCTTCATGATTAATCAAAATGTAGACCCTTTGTGGGGTAGGTACCAGAGTAGTGGATCTATATCTACCAACTTCACACCAGAGCTTGTGTTAATAGAAATTTTGGGGATGTATGCAAATTTTAGGATAATCGGATGCTTATTTCGCATTTTATGAGAGTTATTTATATTAAAAATTTTGACCCATTGTGGGGGAGGTACCAGAAGGAAGGATCCTGTTTTAATAGAAATATTCAGATGTGCCCAGTCTAAATGGAA